CCGCTGTAAACATTGGGGTACAAGTGCCCCTCTGCATCAGCACTCCTGTATCCCTTGGGTAAATTCCTAGCAGTGCTACTGCTGGGTCATAGGGTAGACCTGTTTTTAATTTTTTGAGGAACCTCCACACTGTTTTCCAGAGTGGCTGCACCAGTTTGCGTTCCCACCAACAGTGCCAGTGGGTTCCCGTTTCTCCATGTCCTCACCAGCATCTGTTGTTTCCTGACTTATTATTAATTGTAGCCACTCTGGTGTGAGGTGGTATCTCAGTGTGGCTTTTATTTGTATGTCCCTGATGATGAGTGACGTTGAACATTTTTTCATGTGTCTGTTGCCCATTTGGATGTCTACTTTGGAAAAGTGTCTATTGATGCCTTCTGCCCATTTCTTCACTGGATTATTTGTTTTTGGGGTGTGGAGTTTGGTAAGTTCTTTATAGATTTTGCATACTAACCCTTGGTCAGATATGGAGCAAATATCTTTTCCCATTCCATCGGTTACCTTTTAGTTTTGTTGATTGTTTCCTTTGCAGTGCAGAAGCTTTTTATCTTGATGAGGTCCCCAATAGTTCTTTTTGCTTTTAATTTCCTTGCCTTTGGAGATGTATTGAATAAGAAATTGCTGTGGCTGAGGTCAAAGAGGTTGTTGCCTGCTTTCTCTTCTAGGGTTTTGATGGTCTCCTGTCTCACATTTAGCTCTTTTATCCATTTTGAGTTTATTTTTGTGTATTGTGTAAGAAGGGGTCTAGTTTCATTCTTCTGCATGTTGCTGCCCAGTTCTCCCAGCACCATTTGCTAAAGAGACTGTCTTTTTTCCAGTGGATGCTCTTTCCTGCTTTGTCAAAGATTAGTTGGCCATACGTGTGTGGGTCTAGTTCTGGGGTTTCCATTCATTCCATTGGTCTATGTGTCTGTTTTTGTGCCAATACCATGCTGTCTTGATAATTACAGCTTTGTAGTAGAGGCTAAAGTCTGGGATTGTGATGCCTCCCACTTTGGTCTTCTTCTTCAATATTACTTTGGCTATTCAGGGTCTTTTGAGGTTCCATACAAATTTTAGGATTGTTTGTTCTAGCTTCAAGAAGAATGCTGGTGCAATTTTGATTGGGATTGTAGATTTCTTTGGAGTATTGATATTTTAACAATATTTTTCTTCCAATCCATGAGCATGGAATGTTTTACAAAGACTAGGAATAAACCTAACAAAGATGTAAAAGATATGCAATAATACAGAAAACCATAGAAAGCTTATGAAGGGAGGTGGAACATGAAGAAGACAGTAGGGCATTTGAAACATCATGGATTGAAGAAAATATTGTTAAAATGAACAATATCTAAAAGAAATCACATCCCAATTCAAAATGGCACCAGGAAGCATTCTCTTTGAAGCTAGAACAAACAATCCTAAAATTTGTATGGAACCTCAAAAGACCCCAAGAGAATAGCCAAAGTAATATTGAAGAAGAAGAACAAAGTGGGAGGCATCACAATCCCAGACTTAGCCTCACTACAAAGCTGTAATTATCAAGACAGCATGGTATTGGCACAAAAAAACAGACACATAGACCAATGGAATGAATGGAAACCTGAACTAGACCCACACGTATGGCCAACTAATCTTTGACAAACAGGAAAGAGCATCCACTGGAAAAAGACAGTCTCTCTTTAGCAATGGTGCTGGGAGGAACCAGGCAGCAACATGCAGAAGAATGAAACTAGACCCCTTCTTACAATAATACACAAAATAAACTCAAATGATGGATAAAGAGAAATGTGAGACAGGAGACCATCAAAACCCTGAAGAGAGAAAGCAGTAACAAC